CTAGGCATCATTAACGACAACAAAAATCTCCTTTAAAACATAATCACTACAGTAATCACACCATAATTATGATAACCAGTTATACGGAACAGGAAGGCACCGTTTCCAAAGCGTTTTCAAAGTACACTTGTGTGATTTCATGCTCAATTTTCCACAGCCAAACTGTATCAAATATTTGACATTTTAAGATTTAATGAGCTAGCCCACATTTTCAGCCATATTCCTTATAAATTTTATATGGCCTAATGCAGGTGAAGGCAGCGGGCCGCTAGCGCTGCCAGCTGCTGCCTGCCCTGCGGGAAGAGGGATGCTCCGCTGCAGCCCTGCCAGCCCACAGATAACGGAGCAGCTTGCTCTTCACAGCCCATAAAGCTGTTGATCTTTCTGCTAATTAGCAAAAGCAGACTGGCGAATTGTGAGGCAAAAAAAACAGACCAAGGCTTCATTTCCAGGCAGCCACGTATCTGTTGTGAGGGAACAGCAGCAATCACTGAGTGCACCTAAACTCAGGTGTGGGACACAGAGAAGCTGGTCCAGTGAGGAACACTATGAAAGACTGACACATAGCCCAGAACTTCTTGTTTTTTAGCTCCTCATTAGATGATGAGGTAACTTCATTAGCGTACACAGCCTGAAGATCTCAGGAGGTTATGAAACGAAGTCTGTGCCTGTTATCTCACCAGTGTTTGTACCGGCTCCATTTAACTTAGCAAGATAAGAGCCGGGCCACAATTAGAGGCAATTAGGCCAGCAGGAGGGCTCTTCCCAGGCAAACATGAATAACAGGAGACAATTACAAATCCAAACTACAGGTAGCTAAGAATTTTGAGTCTTTTCATTTTGTTTTTATTTTTTAAATTATTGGAACCGTGTAGCGTTTCAGAGCAGCGCAGGAGACAGCGGGAAGCTGCAGGGCCACGAGGGAGCCCTCGCTGGGCTGGGCAGCGGTGCCTGTCCCAGCAGCAGCAGCAGCAGGGCAGGTGGGAACTCACTCGCGCTGCACGAGCGGCCGCTGCACGGCCCGCCGCGGCGCGCACCCAGCTGCAGCAAGGGGACGAGACCCGCTCCGCTTTGCTCCTCCCGGTGACTCACCAGGTTAACCTCCTCCCCACTGAAAGCTCATTTGCATCCCTTTTTTTATGCCATGAATTCTCTCTAAGCATCTCTAACACAGCAAACTAAGACCTGTAGACAATTCAAGCCAAACTCCTCTGACTGCAGACACTCCTTAAGCCAGCAGAGATCCACACAAGCAGCCACAGCAGAAAAACAGCTTTTTAATCAACCACCTTTTCTCCTGACCAGCAACCATCTCTAAAGCTCCCATCCGTGCACTGTTTGGAATCCTTAAAATGGCCATTTAAAGGCTAGTGGGAGATGCTCGTGTACCCACGCACACACGAGGACAGACAGCGATGTTGGAAGGGACCGCAGAGGCAGCCTCGCGCGCTGCCCCCCTGTCCGGTGCTCCCTGCAGCCACCCTGCTATTTGCCACCCAAGCCTCGTACAGATGCTGCTCCAACCTTGTACAGGTCTGCTCTGAAATCATTTCCAAGTGAGACTACAGAAAGAGCAATTTTGGGGCAGAACTGCTATCTCATGAGTGCTTCTGTTTAGCAACACGCCCCCCGCCCAAAGACCGTGTTGGAGCCTCTCTCTGCACTGCGCTGCCCTGCCAGCTCTTTGCAATAGGAACCCTACGTGCATTTGTCTGACCAGTACCAAGTCACATCCTGGGAAGCCTTTCATTCCAAATTCAGTCTTTCCCCAGAAGCCTTTTTCCTCCCCTATGCCTCAGAAGTGAAGGTTTAACAAGACAGCACTGCCACATCATTTAGGACTGAAGGGGCTCTTCACTCAGTGACAGCAGTCTCGTGTCCACTGGGAGCCGTATTCTCTCTACCAGCCAAACTTCATGTGGTGTCAGGGGATGCCAGTACCTTTCAAGAGGAAGCAACGGCAGATTTATTCTCAAAAACAGCAATTTAATTTTCTCTAAATTTGAGAAGTGTTCCTTGCTTGTCACTGAAAATGTATGGTTGCTAGATTGCTTAAAATAATGCAATTCAGGAAGAAATCTGTGCTCCAATTTTCTTGAAGCTGTGTAGAATGTAAATTGGATATCTATCTTAAGTTTGCCTCAAATTTTCAGACCTTCTCACCCTTGTGTTGATTTTTCCATCGCAAAGGCCTTGTGCATCATTCACAATTTTTCCGCATGCCCTTACACAGAGAATTTTTTTTTTGTAATTTATTTTAGCCACCTCAGAAGAATAGGTTCTCTATAACTACAATCCTTCAGGTTTTGCCAGTCTCATTTTATGTCGCAACAGTATAGATTTTTTTCTTCCTGTATGTCATGCATAATGCTCCTTCTTGTAAAGCCCTAAAAGCTCATTTATTTAGGATTTATTGCCAGAGATGGAAACCTATGTATTTTTCTACTATTAGTATTCACCCTTGCAGAATTTGAAATATCACATTTTATATAAATTAAAGTTTTATGTTTATCATCAATATTAATTACCATTTATGGCTCAGCTGCTTTTGGTTTTTGATTTTGTTTTTTTTTTGGGTGTTTTTGCAGGGGGGAAAAGATGGAGTCAAAGTAACATACAAAGCACAATTAATTACACTTCTAACATTTGGAGCAAGAGCCATCAGCATAGGAATATTCTGCAAATCTTTGAGCTAGAAAACTTCTCTCTTGCTTTACTTACTCCCATTAATGTACATTTGAAAACCACCAGTCCCATTTCCAAGTAGATTTCCATTACGTTAGTACTTCACAGCTGGTTCCAATGCAGTGGAACAGACACTAAGAATAAAGCACGACAATAGGGAGCATAACAATATTAAAGATCAAGTACTTTACCAAAGGGTAAGTACATTACCAAGATAGCTTTTCTTATAGTCAATTAATAACTTTTCAGAAGCATAAAGCGAACGTGGAAATAAGCCCAAAACAAGCACAAGTGTCAATTTGTTCATTTAATGCAGGGGACTTTTTTTCCAAGTGATACTGTAGTACTCTATAGTAAAGGTCTACCTGCAGCAGTTCACTTAAATCACTTTTTCAAATAGTTATGAAAGAATATTAAGAAATTTCTGTCCGCAGAATGACTTTAATCAGTAACATGAAATTTGTTAAGATATTTAAGCTATTTAAAGATACTAAAGCCTGAGGATATTGAGGTTCATTTAAAGTGCATTAGTAATAAAGCAATTATTGCACACTATATTCGGGAATCCTGACATGAAAAATCCAGCATTATATATTTCAAGCAGACAAAAAGCACATCTATTACCTTTTATAAGGACCTCAAGCAATAACACTAGCACAGAGATGAAGACCAGAGACTGCACAGCAGCTGAGCATATTTGCTTCATTTGTTTTTGATTAGGCTGCTCTCTCCCTTGTAACTGGATGGCTTAGGTGGAAAGTTCAGATTTTAGGAGACCACTACACTATCATACAGTAGAATAAAAAACAGTTTCAATAAAGCACTCGTTTGGTCTGCTAGTGAGGTTTTTAAAATAGTAACACTTCAGAGAAGTCAGAGTCCACTGACAAGTCTGACGAGTTGCCAATTCAGACTACTGTTAGTCACTTATTTTTCATTAAAGCCCATGCAAATTCTGAAATCATTGTGAAATCTTCATCCTACACCTTCCGATAAAACTGAAGTTGCAAGAAAAACAAACCTCATCCTGCTGACACTGCCACTGTAATGCTCTGATCTAACAAGAGGAGTTCCTGCAGCAGTATCTAACTCCTCTCCTTACAAAGTATGAGCCAATTCAAATTAAGTCACTTAGGCTAAAAACACACACACCCCTCCTCTGATATCATGTGACACCAATTCCAGGTAATTCTCATTACTGGTTACAGATGAACAAGTATTGCAATAGCTTCTTGGAGCTCCTTCCTGCACAGGGACAGAGAAAGAAGCGGAGAGAGAAGGACAGACACACTCCCAAGAGCCTCAAGAAGGAAAAATCAGTTGCATCCATTTCAACACCATTTTTTATCTCCAAGCAAAACTGCCTTTGGACAGTGCACAATTGAGACAGAAGGAAGTCACATTTCTACTAAATGCCATGTCAGCTTTCTGTAATCTCCATTTCATCTTTCTGATTTTGACATCATGGAACTATCAACATAACCTGAACAGACAAAACAAGGCAGAGTCCCAAATTTACTGCCCTCAGCAATCTTACTGGAATATATTACCCTCTCAAAATATTGTTTAATTTTCTGTTCAAGACAAACCATTCACATTATTTCAAGAACATGTAACTGTCAAAATTCTAGTGAATCATTTTTTTTCTTGAAATACACAAAACAAATTCCAGTTATGTGTCCTAATGTTTTCATATTCATTTCACTTGTATTAAAAGTGTTACTCATTTACTTATTTACTCAAAAATATGCTCTTCAGAAAATGCAGCAGCTGTACATCTGACAGGACACGATCCCAACTTCAGCACAGGGTCTCTTGCACAGAGCTGTCAGGAGAGGAGGCACGAACACTTTGCAGGAGCCTGCCTTTCTACCACCAGCGCATGGCAGGTCGCCGCTAATAGTTGGCTGCTGATGGCCCTTCTCCACCAGGCAAATGCCACCAGATAAATGAGGCCAAATTGCTTTTCCTTCAGTTAAATCAAGTCTAAAGGGGCCATCTGTGCACTTGAACTTGCTTGCATTCATCTGTGAGATCACGTGCATGTTGTTTTCTCAGAAAGCAAAGCTCATCTCAGACGACCCTTAAGCTATCAAACTAATCCTGCCAAGCAAACACGG